ACTGGCTTTTACGTGTTGCATGCGACGTCAAAAGAAGATAATCTGTCCAAATTTTTATCTCGATATTTCCAAACATGTTCCACATGTCCTCCTTCCATTTCCGTACACGCTTGGCATCTTCTTCTTACAGAGTCGCGAACTTTCTCGAAAATTCAAGATGTCTGTCGAATTATTTGACAAGCTTCTGTTATAAAGTATGTATGGAAATTGAATGAAGACATTCAAAACATGGTTTATAAACACCGAGGTAAACATCGCATGCGACACGTAGAAGCCAGTAAGTCAATCATGATACATACAAACATACAAAAATATCTCAGAAACGATTGAGCTTTCGATTTATGTTTACTAAGGTTTTTTTACTCAATATAGTGTGTATCATCTACTATATAAATATTGAATGGTTTTTTCTTGAACACCCTGTATAAGTGGAAATAAAAAATTATACATATAATTACTACAAAGGAAAAATTATTTTATATTTCCTACGAAACTTACGTTAACTAAAAACTAACGTTTGTTAAATTCGTTACGATTCCACTTTTTTCCAATTGCGGCAACCCAACTTTTGTAAATCCTCTTCCACTCCCTCCATCCATTTATCCTTCAACCGATCTCGCCTTCTCTGTTCCCTAGGGTCTCCGAACAGAACTCTCCTTGGGATCTCAGTGTCCTCCATTCTCATCACATGTCCGACCCATTTTATCTTTCCTGCTCTTATAACCTTTGTCGGAGCATCTAAAAAGATAGCGTATAATTCAGCATTGTATCGCTTTCTCCATTGCCCATTATCACATACCGGATCAATAATCCTTCTGAGCACTTTTCTTTCGAGTGCATCCAGTATTCGTGCATTAGTTCCTATTAAAGTCTATGCTTCTAAGGCATAAATGAGCGTTGATCTGACGAAAGTTTTGTAATGTTAACTTAATACTGCAGCTGAAAAGTCTTGACCGAAATAAGTTGCTCAAAACAAAATAGACTTTATTCGTTGAGATCAGCCTAATTTTAATTACAGTGAACATGTCATTCAAGCAAGTCACCGTAGAGCCAAAATACTTAAAGTTGTTAACTCTTTCAAACGAGTACCCATCTTATGTTAAAAGTCGCTGGCATATTGGGTAGAATTTTCCACAAGCCATGACTTTGTTTTCTCTTTATTTATCATCAAGTCCTACTTGCTTGACTAAAAAGGCCTGTGAGGGCCTCCCTGAGAGTTGATGTTGACCTTGCTACTATACTCCGTCTAGCGAGAAAATATACCTGGCTCAGACGAAAACTCGTCCGTTTCGCGCAGGTTTCCCCTCACGGAACGCTTAAAAAGCCTTCCCACTCCACATGATTGTACTGCTCGTGCAGTTTGTCAATGCCAACGCTCTCCCCACTTTAGCCGCTATGCTTCTCCTATGCGCAGAAAGAGGTATATTCTCTCGCTGGACAGAGTATACATCCAAATCATTAGCATATGCCAGGATCTGCACTGATTTGTAAAAAATAGTGCCTCTGGTCTGTAAACCGGTATCTCTGATGACCCATTCAAGTGCTATATTAAATAATAAAATAGCCAATGCATCTCCTTGGCGTAGGCCAACGTAGGCCTCTGAATAGTTTCCTTTAATTCATATACTCATATACTTACATCAGACATCATGACTTTCACCATTCTTATTAACTTTTTATGGACACCCATCTCCCTCATTGCCCAGAATAGGTAGTGCGTTCCAATTCTGAATTCAACTGCTTTCTCTAAAATTTGCCATAAATTAAATATTTAATCCACAGTTGACTTCCCTCGCTTGAATCCACACTGATAGGTTCCGAGTTCTCTCTTCACCAATGGTAAAAGCCGTTTAAAAATGATGTTGGATAACACCTTGTATCCTAAATTCAAGAGTAATTCCGCGATAGTTTCCGCATTCCATCTAATCACCTTTCTTGTGAAGTATACTTTCATTCCATTCATCTGGGATTTTCTCTTATTGCCATATCATAGATACCAGGCATAAGAGAGATTGCTCTAAGGCTCTTCACCCGCATTTAAGGAACTCTGAGCTCATTCATGCTAGGTGCCCTACTGTTTTTTCCGAAAGCCTCTCTAATCTCCTCGATCACTGAGACACCCTGCAATTCCTTCGTATCCATCACCTGCTCATTGTCTTGAAGATCTTCACCGAAAGAACTATGCTCCACTTGCTCTATTTTCTGATTAAACCCTTGGGTTGAATGCTCTTGGGCATTCTTCATTAACCTAAAGAATTTTCTAGGCTTATTCTGCCTTTTCGTTAACTCCACATATTCCATCTCTCTCGTCATCCATTCTCATTTCTTTCTACGAAGGACTGCCTTCTCCAGCCTTCTCTTCTACCGGTCCTTCTTTTGCAATCTTCTTATGCAGTTCCTCCACAGTGTCTTCTGGTAGGCGATGTTTTTTTCTTCAGTAAGCCTTTTGCAATCTTCGTCAAACCATGTAGCTCTTTCGGATGGCCTTTCATACCCCAATGTTTCTTTTGTAACATTGCTAATCACAGTTTTTATTGCCAGCCACTTTTGCTCGATGTTATTATTTTCTGTTATGCCTGCTTGCTCAAGAGACAGCAAAACTGGCAGTACAATCTGGCAGTTTTTAACGATTTCAATGCAGCTATCTTATACCTTTCTCTCTTGGTTTGTCTTGCTTTTTGGACATCTGATATTTGGGCTCTGAACTTAGCCATCACCAGAAAATGGTCCGAATCCACATTAATACCACGGAGCGTTCTCAGTTCTCACATCCAGCAGATTGGATTTGTCTCCTGTCTATCAAAACATGATCAATCTGATTGATTATGCTACCATCAAGTGATTTCTATGTTTCCTTGTGTATCTTCTTGTGTGAAAATTTGATGGATTCTACCATTATGTTTCGAGAAATAGCAAAAAGAATCAATTTTGTTCTGTTATCATTAATGGTGATATGCTTCCCAATTATTGGTTGAAAAAATATCCTCTCTTCCCAGCTGTACATTAAAATTATCCAATATCTTTATATCACTTCTTGGGCAATTATCATATGCTTTTTCTTGGGCATCATAGAAATCTTCTTTTAGCTTCTCGCTGGATTCCTCGGTTGGTGCATGTGCATTAATTACACTATAATTAAAAAATCTACCTTTTACTGAGCGTTGATAGCCTTGGTTGATGAGTATAAAACCAATCATTAAATGTTTAAGTTTTCCATGTACAATAAATCCTGTCCCAAATTCATGCTTCCTGCTGTCACAATTGTAAAATATCGTGCCTTCTTTCTTTTCCAAGGTACCACTTCCTATCCATCGCGCCTCTTGTATAGGAATAATGCTTTCCTTGAGTTTTCTCTGTTGGTTTAATAACATTCTAAGAGAGGTAGGTCTGTATAGAGTTCAAATATTTTACCAATATTTGTACCAATATTGAGATTAGCGTTTAAAAAGCTAGTCCTCACTCGTTGTCCACAACTCGTGCCTTGTCCTCATCTATCAATTTGTCCGGCATTCTCTGTTTGAAGTTTCGAACCATTGACTTTTTACGGAAAGGGATTGTTAGCCCCATGCCTAATCGCCAACCTGGAGAACTAGAGATTTTTCTGTCAGGGTTATTATACCTTAGCCGAGATGTCCTTGTTTTGGCGCTGCTACACCTTAAAATACTGTAAGACAGTGAAAATTGATAATAATATAGTTTAATATTATATACTTAATTATTATACAATATTAATATTATGTGAAAGTATAAATTTGCAAAATATATTGTTCTGTCATTGACTGTAGAATATATCTTTTATTTATCTTATTTTGTATGATACTAATTACTTACTGTGACATAATATGCATTTATATTAATATTACAGATTAATTAACATTATGTTAGTTGATATGTTATTCGGTGTAGCCAAGTTTCTTGGCATTAAATATTTTTTTATTTAGGTTAAATTTAATTTAATTTATTTTTATTAATTTGATTAAATGTACAATAGTAAAGTATAAGCTCCAATAATTTATCAAATAATAATAAATAAAAAGACACAAAGAGACGTTGCTAGTTATTCATGCAGTATAATTTCACTTAGTATACAATAACAAACGTTTCAACCTAAATTAGGTTTTCTTCAGTGTCATACAAAATAAATATAACGTAAACATAATAAAATTTTAAAATGTGTCGAAAAATTTCATACAAGACGAAACGATAAGTGCAGAAATTACGAGTGTGGAATGAATTCAGTAAGATTTCCTTGTGCCATTATTCTTAATTAACACTGTAATTATTGAGTATTTTAATTTGCGCATTATGATGATTACAAAAATATTTGTTATTATATTATACATACGTGATAATAATGAAACCATGTATCCATAGAATAAAATCATAGAAGAGTCAGAGAATAAAATGTTGGATCCGCCATCTTGAATTCGGGAAATTTGATAAGAGATTTGTAATCAGCGACCCAAAAAACTTCAGTAAACCCATTTTCATTAGGAATTCATCAAAAGAAATTGTTGTGACTCGGAATAATCGAAAAAAGCGTAACATTAATGGCTTTAGATTGCCATATTGGACGTCGCCATCTATAATTTCAAAATACTCACCCATACATTTTGAAGCTTAGGGTCCATGGACGCAAGATTTTCACTTCCCAGAGATATCCTCATCCGATTTCGATGCGAAAATATCGATTGAAGAAAATGTTGGAATGAAAAAATCGGATTTTTTAAAAAATAAACAAACATAACTCTTTTGGATTGCATTTTGGAAAAATTCTGAAAACAGATTCTGAAAGTTCAATAAATTTTACGTCAGAAATGATTGTTTTAGAATTTTTTCTGGATTGGTTTAGTAGAAAAAACAGCCGCTGAAAAAAGCTATGAAAAAAAAACGTTCGTTTGGTCCTTAATGGGATAAAGGTGGCATCACCACGAGTAATTTGAGCTAAAGAAAATTAAAATCGGTCCAGCCGTACCGGAGATACAAGCGGTCAAAAAGTAATGTTGGTAATGTAAAATTAAGAAACGTCGTCTCCTTATTCTTTTCCTCTGTCCGCCAGGGGCAGATAAAGAATTTGCGAGGCCCAAGGTATTATTATTATCATTCAAATTTACGGGAATTTCTCACACCAGGTGCCAAGAGTCGACGATTTCGACTTCCCCGAGTTGCGCTACGGAAATTCCTCGCACCAAGTGCCAAGAGTCGACGAATTCGACTACCCCGAATTGCGCTACGTGAATTTCTCGCACCAGGTGTCAAGGGTCGACGAATTCGACTTTCGTGAGTTGCGTTACGGAAATTTCTTGCACCAGGTGTCAAGAGTCGACGAATTCGACTACCCCAAGTTGCATTACGGAAATTTCGCAAACGAGAGAGAGAGAGAGAGAGAGAGAAAGAGAGAGAGAGAGAGAGAGAGAGAGAGAGAGAGAGAGAGAGAGAGAGGAGAGGAGAGA